GTATATCTATATTTAAAGCATATAGTTTCATAACCTAATTTAATATTTGATTTGATGAATAAGGACAATAAATTACCTAAATCATAATATGAGAATAATGTAGTGGAGGGTGGGAACATAGATTAAGGTGAGAATAAGCCACTAGGAAAGAAGAGGACCAAAAGGAAGTCAATATCCAAATACAAAATTTGGGTTTTTGATACATACTTAGTAGGAGAAAGTGGGGTACAAGGTAAAGGTACAAAAAATGAAGTCACAGAAGAAGCAATACTTGATATAGAGGGTGGAATTGGGTCTGATTATAGGCTCGATACAAGATGTGGCATTGGACAACAAGATAGGCAAAATGATGGTAGGACAGAAATAGAACATGATGCACCTATTGCAATTTTGGGGGGGAAAAAAAGTATGTGACAAATTTTGAGCCTACTGAGTGTCATGCTAGCTGGTAGAAAAATGAAGGCATTGATGATAGATTGTGGGAAGGGTTGGAGGCTAATGACATGACATAAATGAAGATTACTAGAGTGATATTGATTCAAACATTGAAGATAATGATATACCTCAGTATGAACCATTTGTACCAAAGAAAATATAGAAGGACTTTGAGTTTCAAGTGAGAATGGAATTCATTTCAGTAGAGCAATTTAAAAATACAATTATGGAGCGCTATTTTTTGAATAATCAACAAATTAAATTTGTAAAGAATGAGGACAACAGATGCAAGATTAGGTGCAATAGCCCAAATTATGATTAGTTGACATTTGTTAGCAAAGTTGGCAACACAACGACCTATAGGTTAAAGACCTATGTGTCAAAATAATCATGTGCTAAAGTATTTGACAATAAGAATGATAATGCAATATCGATAGCAAAGGTTATTAAGGACAAATTGAGAAACAATAACAAATGTCATTGAATGAGACTACAACTAAGATAAAAGGTACTTGTGCAATAAAAATTTCTAAATAGACAACTTTTAATGCAATAAAAATGGCAATGAAAGCATTAGATGATGAAGCAACCTAACAATACACATTGTTTTGGAATTTGAGATTTAACTAGAGAAATTTTTGTTAAATACAATTGGTTAGACCATAATCCAATTTGCAATCAAGATTTGGTAATTTTTACTTCTATTTGGGTGGGTGAAAAATGGATTTTTGTATCTGGGTGTAGACTATTCATTGGTGTGGATGACTGTCATCTAAAGATCAAGTATAGTAGACAACTACTTGTAATAATAGGAAAGGATGTAAATTATCAATATTTTTCACTTGTTTGTGCTGTAATAGAAACAAAATCTAAAAGGAGTTAGAGGTGGTTTTTTACTTTACTTTTCATGGACATAAAGGACATCTCAACTAACACATGTGTTTATATCTTTGACCAATAAAAGACAAGTTTAAGTATCTATTTATTTCAATAATATGAAATTTTCATTACATAGATTAATGTTTATCATTTTGAATATGTCAAAAATTAAGTTTTAACAATTTTTTAAATAATTTTTAGGACTTGATCCAAGATTTTAAGAAGTTGTTAATGAGTTTAGAACATAGGTATTATGTTAAACACTTATTTAATGATTGTCATGTTAAAAACAGAGAACTACACATAATAACTAAATATTGCATGATGCTCAAACTAACCAAAACATACCCATAAGTAACATATCATTGTAACCACAAAGCAATTAATAAGTTTTTTTTTTTCATATTAACTAGTTTCCTAATTTGATTTTTACCTGTTGGAACCAAACCTTAATGTTGGAAGACGAATAGCAAAAGGTAGAGAGAGCAAAAGAGATAGCGGAAGCAACATTAAACTTGAACCACAAACATCAATACATATTGCAAGTTAATCTGAACACGTGATTGACAACCAAACTGTTAGCCAATTTGATATAACTAGATTAATTTAATTTCATTAAGTTCTGATTATTTTTTATGTGCTTATGTCACGTGATGGAACCTATCACTAATGTGGCTTTCTTTTTGCATATGTATACATTTAGGCCATATTAAGCCATATGTATCTTTTGAATGTAAAATTGTCATTTTGAAATTCTATAATTAAATTGTCTATATTTGATGTTATTTATTGCATCATTAATGTTTGTATACTTAATTAAGTTGATATTACATAAAAAAAATTTGTAATTATATTTAACCCAAATTAATTAATTCATACTCCACAATAAACAACCAATTTTTTTCATTACAAAAAAAAAACAACCAATTTTTCACTAAATAAATTTTTCATTGATCACAAATTTTGGTACATGAGTTAAGGCACATCAAAATATATACCTAACCATTAAATCCCTTAATAACAAAATTCTCAACCTACCTACATTACACCGATTGAAATTTCACATTACAATAGCCATAACACATACATTTTGAATTTGTTAGCCTTTTATGACAACATACATTAACAACAAAAATTTGATGACCCATGAAACTCTAATCATGCAAGATAAAATTAGTCTTTTTATCTTCTTAGAGGACAACTTTCTTTTTACCTTTCCAATCCTATGTATGTGATCTTCAATCATAGTGGTAGCCTCATTTGAAAACGTGCATTTCACTTTCTTCAAAACTCTTTCATTATCCTCATTCAAAGAAATCACAAGATTTTATCAACTTCTCATTACACTCAATGTAACAAAAAAATTAAAAAAATGCATAATAAAGTACAATGTTAACGAAGAAAATCACTTTTACTTATTCTCCAATTGAAATATCTCTAAAATGTCTTTCTTAGACTATTATTGCTGCTAGATATTAGTACCACCATCATTTCTCCATATTTGCATACACGCCATTGTGAAGGCTTTGACATTGCTAACCAAAACTTACTAGTTCACAAATTTATTAATAAACTTCTATTTAGAGTTTTTGTTCTTTCATTATCTACTAAGAAGAGGAAAGCACAAAGTTAAGTTACAAATTAGGATTTTTAAATATCTTTGTAAATTTTTTTTTCATTTCCTATTTTTCAATCTCACTTAAGAATCTTTTTTCTCCACTTAAGGTGATATCAAGTATTAAAAAAATTTATGCGACACTGATGAACTAAAGTGATGAGTTAAAGCTCCATTATCCACCTCATCACTTAATAGATAATTGTTGCCAGTAAAAACTAATTTTAAATATTTTAAAATGCCAAAAATTATATTTCAATAATTCTTTTTAAAGGATTGATTCCTAAATAAGCTACGATTATAAAGACTAATAACATATTTAAGTCTAAAACTTATATTTAAAATGAAAGTTATATTATATTATGATAAAAAAATACAATAGAAATTATTATTCATTTGTATTATTTATTTATTGTTTCAAATAAAAGAAAGAGTAATTATTTAAACACTTTAAATATTATATATATATATATTTAATATATTTTTATTTTACAAAATTTATTCAAGATAATTTTAAAATTAAAATTATATAATTTATTAATTTGTATGTTTTTAGTAAAATTATTAATAAAATTTATTTTTTTATTTTAATTTAGATTATTTAGTATTATAAAAAAGTTAATTTAATCAATCCACGCATAGTACGAGAGAAAAAATTAATCCTTGTGTATAGTTAGATTATGTGACTTATTCTTCTATTCAAGATTTGGTGCTTAACCCATAATTAGCAATATGGCCTAGGCTCAATAAACATTGGTCACCATTAATTTATACAGATGATGTTATCATTATCATCTGAGTATAAAATATTTAACAATTAATTAATTCAAGAACGAAGTATACTTTTAAGAGGTTTCATGAGCATTGCTTTGTTTGTTTTTTTTTCTTTTTTTCACAAAGAACTATATAAGAGTGTAATTTATTCATTTTAACGTAACCTAATTAAAATATACCAACAATAATAATGTCATTTAAGGAAAAAAAATTAATACAAATTTGAAACAATAAAAAAATCATCTTTTTAATTTTAAACTAAATTTTTTAAACATGTATATATGAGAAAATTTTAAAAATATAATTTTTTTTATTAAATTATACTAACAATCCCTAAACTATTGGAAAAATTATAAATTGGTCTTTGAACTTTTAAAATCTGTAAATAGGTTTCTAAATTTTACAATTACTCATAATCACGTTATTTTATTATTATGGTTCAGCTTGAATAAAATTTTAAATAAACCTGTATATAAAAAAGAATAATATAAAAAATTAATAAAACTTTTTTCTATAAGCTAGAAACAACTTATACTTCTCTGTTTATTTTTTAATATTTCTAATTTAACTTTTTTAAAAAAATACAAGTTACTTTGAGAATATAAATTGTTTCTAACTTATGAAAAAGAATTTTATTCATTTTTATATTAACTTTTTTTTCTTACAAAAACTTCTCTAAAATTTACTCAATAAAGGTGGCAAAGAGTATTTGCTCTAAAACTCATGTAACAAGTATTGGGATTCAAAACTAATCTCAAAACTTAAAAAAAAAAATCATTAAAAATTGAACTTAAAAAAAAAAGTCATGAATAAAAACACGAAGAAAAAGTCCATTTTACCCAACTCTTGCCAAGAACTCCAAAACTAAAAAAGTTCGTTTTACCTTTAATACCCGTCATTGTCCTTATGCACGTAATTGCTTCGCATCCTAAAACTTGTTTATTCCTCAAGTTAGTTAGAGCTTTGAGATTGCTTAGTGCCTCTTGCTGATTGAAAGAGAGGGGACAGAGTTAGAAGAATGTAGGTGCAATGAAGCTTGTGAAGTTATCATTTTTCTATTAAAAACAATTAAGAAACTTTTAAAAAAGTGTTTTTTATTCATTTTTCAAAAACTCCTTTAAAACAAGTCTTAAAGAACAATTTTTAAAACAAGTTTTAAAACTGAAAACGTATATTATAAAAGTATTAAAATTCACATTTGATTTGCTCATCGTCATTTATAACTTTACGTTTTTTTTTTTTCTTAAGTGCACTATTTACTTTATATGGACCAATTTCTCAAAACCTTACTCTCAGAAGCAAGCTTATCCAATAAAATTGAATCTTATTAGCTGTCTTTCGTACTAGTAGTCTCAGATTGCTCTTTCAGACCGATCAAAAGTTAGGGCGACACCATTGTCTAGACGTTATATACAATTTGAACTGGTTTCCATTGGATGCTTCTTGCACGTCTATATATATGAAATTAAATGTGACTCAATGATAAACAATAAAACCCAAAAAAAGAAAGAAAACAGATAACCGTCACCATCACATAATATTCAAGGCAAATCAGGAACATTCTTTTCTGGCTTCGAATGCTGCTAAATAACTAATAAACTTGTGTTAGAATTCTGATTCTGGAAATGGATTCAACGCCCTTCTCTTGGAGATCTTCATATGCAGTTAAGCGGTGTTTAATAGCTAGCCTCTTAATATCAGCAACAACTACTTGTGGCATCGGACTTGGGTGGCTTGTCCTTGAAAATGTTCTTTTTAAGGCCCTTAGAGCCCTCAGCTAAGAGGCTAGGTGTATCCAGAATCTAGGTGATCAAACAGTCCAACGAAAAAAATTATAATCATTTTTAATGATATTAACATATTCATTATCACAAGTAATAGAATTTATCCGTTTCCAAGTGTCCCATGTACCAATTTCACTTGAAGCGTCAAGCCGTGTTTCTTTAGAATCAGGGGATATAATTACCTGTTTACCTCATCAAATTACTACTCATCCAGGCTTGCACAGCATACATTTCTCAATTTAACGTTTCTGTGTTTTGCAATTATATCTAGGAGACATATCGAGTGACATGATTGGCTTATTATGAAATGTAAGAGGAGCAAATCATGATCACTGAATCTTACTTGGATAACCAGGATACTTAAAAGAGAAAGTAACATGACTTTATGTTTTAATATTGACCACTTATGCACGATGTAATAATCATGATTTGCTTCCTTTACTCTTATAGTAACCTATTGCTTGGCAGTAGTACGTTAACCACATAAGAAATGTATGCAGTATACCAATTATTGACTAGAGTTATGTTAAGAAATGGGCATATATGTCACTCAACATACCTTCAGAACAAGCTCTTCAAAGCATTGTTGTACGTTAACTCGAGTTTTAGCACTACATTCAATAAATAGGCAACCATATTCCCTGGCAAAGTCTATTCCCTCTTTCTTTGTCACGGCTCTATCACTGTCCTGAAAAGCAAATATTATTCATCTGCATGTCAAGTCCTCTAATGGAATGCGTGAAAAAATATAGTAATGGTAATTAAGATCTAATATAAAGCATAAGTCATAAATCTGAGTTTGTTTTTTCAGCTTACAAAATGGATATGTGTACCAATGGGATCCTATAACAGAGGATTCAATGAAATTCCGGGTTTATATTTACTTAAATACAATTCAAAATCATATAAACAAGCCTGCCTCCTAATCTTTCCTTAAATAAATAAATAAATGAATCCTCCTAGACTATAGAAAATGGAAAAATAAGACAGGTAATCAAGGGAAAGGAACATAGAAGAACCAGAAGTCAAAACATGAAACGAAACAGATTATAGTAAATAAGATTAGCCCAAAACAGCTCCCCAAACCCTTTGTACATTTATTATTGAAAACCTTTTAAAACGACCACTCACTGACTGCCTGAGAATTGCGAGTGATAAACCCATGGAAATCAGAACAACATGAGAAGGGAGAACCTTCTGATCAAAAGGGCACAGTGGCAAATAATTTCTCCCTACTTCCTTCCATCCCCTTTAAATTGAATAAACAGAGATCGATCTAAAAACATCCAATAGTATTTTCTCTTTGTCAAAGTTTACTAAGAATTTCTCCAAAAGGAAGAAAAATTGAAGTACTGAACATTGATTTTGAACAAGTCAAGCATGAACATCCAATACAGATAGCCAGAAACACATGCATAAAGTTGAGTACTCAAACAAAAATCTTGACGAGATTGAACGCTCAGAAAGATGAGGGGAGAGCGTATGATTACAAAATTCCTAAAAGAAGATACCTTATCCACTTTGTTTCCGACAAGCATTTTGATGCATTCCGGATTTGTTGAATAAAGGTCAATTTCCTTTGCCCATACTTCAGAGAGATCCGTAAATGTTTCCCGCCGAGTGACATCATAAACTACATCAGTTTGAGACACAAAATGCAGTTAGTCAAAAACTAAAATATCAACAATATATATACTGGGGAGGCTATGTTGCCAATTTCCAAATCAATGCATCATATTCCCACCATCGTAATGCATCTGATACAGACATGCCAACCATATCCATGTGAATTCAATCAACAACTTAGAACAAAAAATTCATTATGGTCACTGAATTGACACAGCTCAATTCAGTTAACACGCCAAAGCATGATAGATGTAGGAAAGTATTTTTTTAAGCAGTAAAAAAGTGTACACAACCATCCTTTAGACCTTTACCTCTTTCATATTGACACCTTCAACTTTCATTTCATCCCAATCCTTAAACACCAGATAGGTATTATGTCAATAGACCATTTAGTTAACTTGGATTTAAGTCACTAACAATAAACAAATCATGGCCATTCATTTAAATTGAATATAAGCCATTCATTTTATTTTATATTTATATAAATCACTCCCTCTGCCCCCCCCCCCCTCCCCCACAAAAAAAAAAGATAAAAATAATCCAAAAAGAAAAGAAAACAGTGACTACCTTCATGTTTGATAGTTTCCAACAATCATGTGATCATTGGTTAGAATTAAATATTTTCTATTTTTGGCAAATTAAATATTCTCTTCATTTCCTATGCCCTTGGACACACAATTTCGATGCAATTTTTGCAAAAATACACGAAAAGGTTCGAAACTATTGCCAAAGAGAACTTAATTTAAGTCAAGCAAATAAGCAACAGAAATTTAGTTCAGATAGTGAAAGATGACTAGGTGGCAAGGCCCTAGCTGCAAGGGACGGCCTAGTTCATCATTGAAGACCCTTGGTTGAACTTTGAAAAGTTTATTCTAGCTGGTCATTTACAAATTGGTTATTTTGCTCTACATGCAATAAACTATAGCTTTAAGCCCCGAAGCTTGTTAAAGCCTGCTAGAAAATAAGTCATCTAGGTTTTTTGGAAAGTGCTTCTAGGCAGATGAAGTTTCTTCACAAAGACTAAATTTACTTGTTTGATTAGACCTATATGCCAATCATCGTTACTTTGAATATATTAGCTTTATGGAAACCATTTGATTTGATTATGTGAGTAATAAAAAAGCCTTAACCATGGATTAAAAGCAAAGCATAACTTAGCAGGGAAGAAAATTTTGGCTTTAACTCATCCCAGCAAAGAACTAACTTGCTCAAACCATCATTACATAACAAATCACATACTGTACTAGATTGCCTTACAGAGTATAAAGGCATGGGTTAACTTTCAAAAGGAAAGCAAACAGTTGTTCCCTGCCATCCTCCAAAATGTTATAATACATTCCAGTCTAGGTTCTCGTGAAAATTCAAAACACTCCGCCCTCAATAAATTCGTGACTAGAAGGGTGGTGAATCAAGAACAGAGAACTGAAACTCACCCATAATGATGCCTTGTGCACCTCGGTAGTAAGAACTTGTCAATGTTCTGAATCTCTCCTGACCAGCTGCATATTTAAATCACACCATATCCATACATATAGCATTATTACTAAGAGAAACACACATCATATAAAATGGAACATCAATGAATCAATAAACAAATAAACACAAATGAACACCTGTATCCCAAATAGCAAGCTTCAGCTTTTTACCATCCATCATCAAATACTTGACCTTAAAATCAACACCTACATTGAGACATCAAACAAGACATAAAGGCATGAAACTCTAGATCACATTGTGTTCACAAATAATCAGACAACATTAAGCATACACAAGACAATGATGACATTTCAGACTGAATAGCAATCTGTAACATTAAAAATGCTATACCCTATGGCCATTACAATGACAATGACATGTTCTTGAGATGCATGAAATGAATTGAAAAAAACGAACCAATTGTGGGAGCAAGATCTTCAAATTCATTGGAGGTAAAACATAGGAGGAGACTACTCTTGCCAACACCGGAATCCCCAATCAGCAACAACTTAAACGAATAATCAAATTCCTGGCTCGAACTCGAATCCATCGCAATCAACTGATTCAATCATAAAATAACAATTTAAAACAAATAATCAAATTCCATTTTCCCTACCAAATCCTATGAGCAAGAATTGATTCTGAAACCCATCGTATAATATTGATTGTTAAGAAAATGTGCATTGGCATCATAATAGTGATTAAAGAAGAGAGATTTGCATACCTAATAATTAATAGAATCAAATCCTAGAGGAGCTGGTAGGAGATGAAATTCAGAATGAAATATTAGCAACGAAAATAAAACGGAACCGGGTCCGAATTACCAGGTCGCCGTTCCACGTTTTTTCTTTTTCCTTTTTTTCTTTCCCTTCAGCTCTGAAATATTTCTAATCATTATCGCGAGATTTAATTTTGTCACCCGAACCTTGTTGCAGTAACAAATACTAAAACAAACATATTAAAATGATAATCGATGAAAAAAATTCATACAAAGTAATCAAAAGAAAAAAAAATCATACTAATAAATTGATGATTTGACAAAAAAAACTAAAAAAAAAATAGTGTGTTAGAAATAGATACAAGTATAACTATAAAATATTGATTTGCCTCAATGGCCGCACGAGACAGCCATTTTCTTCTATCAACGGTTCAAACTGATAACTACACTATCATTGCACGCTGGTTGTTGGGTTTATGACGAAGGTCATATAAGTTTTTGTAGATAAGTGTATAAACTTTAGTTTCAATAAATTTAAATTTGTAAAATATATTTATTTAAAATTAACTAAATTAATATATCTTATGTTTCGAACATTTTTTAAAAGTAAATATTTGAAAAATATTATATAAATTTTTAAATTTAATATAAAAGATGTAAGTTATTATTCTGGTCTGAATACAAATTTAAAGATAAAATTAATTTAATTGAAACAATTAAAAATTATTTTTTTAACAGAATCAAGTTAAAATAAAATAAATGCAATTAAGTAATATTTTAATGTGCATTTAAATATATACTAAATTTAATAGCAATATATATATATATACACACTAAATTTGGTGAGTTTAATACAGCAAAAAAAAATGGTGAATATTCAGACAAAAGAAATAAGTTTTAAGTTATTGAAATATATTAGGTTTAAAAGATCAATTCATTTAAATGAATATAAATACTATAACAATAATTATATTCTTTTTATTATTGTACCATTTATTTTATCATAATATTATAATAATTTATATTATTAGTTTATTAAAAAAAACTTAAACATGACAACCGTGTAAGTTCATTGCTCATTTAAAGATACACTTTGATTTCATTTAATAAAATTTATTATAAAATAAATTTTTAAACAATTTTTAAAGTAAATTAAACTTCTATAAGGATCGAAACAGCAGTTTTTTGGTTGTTCTGCATCATCTGTCATCCAACATTAATAGCATTGTATGAGATTCAGCTCACCCGATATATTTCCCATAAAAAGACTAATTTCATTCAATTTGGCCACACAAATATTGTGTATCAATTTAAATTGATATAAATGTATTGTTAAAATATTCGGATCAACTCATTATATTTGACCCTTTTTAATATCAATAATTTTAAAATATCTAAATTATAATTTTTCAATACTAACTAAAATTTAAAATAATAATTTAATGTGTTTAGCTAAAATATTTTCTTATCATTTTAATTATTTTTTCGATTAAATTATAATTTTATATTTTTTATATTAAAAAATAGTAATACTAATAAATATATTTTGACTACAATTTAAAAGTTTAAATTAAAAATAATAGTTTTGACGTTAGGATATCAATGTCAAGATTGCTAGCTTCTTAACATAAGAATAAAATAATAAGTGTATCAATTTTTGTTTACTTACATTTTCTCTCCTCATATTTTTTAAAATTCTTAAATAAACACACAATCATACAATAATATAAATAATACTTATACCCGCAAGATATAAAATACGATTAATTCAATAAACTATAAGCCTGCAATCTCTACGTTAAATTTGGGTTCCAATGGCTTATCCAAAAAAGTTTGGGTTATGATATTTCTTTCTTACATACGCCAAAAGATTGTCAAATTGAGATTCATGCCCTACCACTCTTGTCACCCTGAAATACTATTAACTGTTGGTTAACAAATATAAGTTTTTATCTTTCTACAGGTTGCTAAAAGAAGTTACACCATCCATCATTGTCCTTTTTTATATTAATTTCATTTTATAAATATTTATAAAAGTAAAAAAATATTAAAACAGTAAAATTAATTTGTTCTTTAAATGTACGATGACCAAATTTATATTTGTATAATTTTTAAAATATAAATTTAGTTTTTAAAATAGTCACTAATTCAATTTTAAATATATAATAGGTTTAAAAATCAATTCAATCTTTAAACTAGTCACTAATTTGTTCTTCAAAATTATTGTTAATTTAAGTCTTTAAACATTTAATAGGATATTTTTTTATCTTTTAAAAAATACAACATATATTTAAATTATCATGACTGTCAATCTCTAAATTGTCCTTCAAAGTAGTCACTCACTGGATCTCTTAATAAGTAATAGGATAATTTTTAATTTTTTAAAAATTAAGTTTAGTTTCTAAACTAGTTACTACTAGTGATTGAAATATCAATCTTTAACTTATTCTTCAAAATGGTGATTAATTTGATCTCTAAATATGTAATAAGGTATTTTTTATTTTTTGAAAAAATACAATCAATCTCTAAACTGATCATTAGTGATTGAAATATTAATCACTAATTTGTCCTTTAAAGTCATCACTAGTTTGATCTCTAAACATGTAATTACATGTTTTTTTTTTAAAAAATAAAATAAGTTTTTAAATCAATAATTGTTAATGACTAAACTATCGATCATTAACTTTTTCCCAAAGCAAAGCAATTACTAATTTGTTCTTTAAACACGTAATAAGATAATTTTTTATTTTTTACTTTTCTCTAGACCAATTACTACTACTAATTACCATATTAGTTATTAACTTATTCCTCAAAGTAATCACTAATTCGGTTTTTAAACATGTCATAGAATAATATTTTTAAAATAATATTGATCTCTAAACTACACTATGAGTAACTGAAATATCAAACACTAACTTATCCCTTAAAGTGCTCACTAATTCGGTCTTAAAATGAGTAATAGAACTATTTGTTATAAAAAAATTAATTTAATCTCTAAATTAATCATTATCAGTGATTAAAATATTAATCATTAATTTCTCACTCAAATTAATTATTAAATCAATTCATAAATACAAAATTAAATTTTGATAAAAAAATATTAAATATTAGTTTTTAAATTGGGTACTATAGTATTCAATCTCTGCATTAGTCCTTACATGAAAAAAAAAATAATAATTAATGGGTGGGATAATGTGGGTTGAGCTTTGTGTGTTAGGTCACTGATGCTCTTATTTTTGCATCCTCACTTTCAACTAGAGGTTTAACTTCTACATTGTCAAGCTCATGGCTTTCTTCAACTACTAAGCACATGAATAACTCTACCCTAGCAAGTTTGACACGTTTTACATTAAAACGAAGGAAGCGCTACAAGCAATGAGAATTTTGGAGTTTGATAGAAAGGTTAGATGGGTTATGTCTATTGACAAAGATGGTGAGTAAATGGATAATCAATAGTGTTTCTGTTAGGAAAACAATAGTCTTCAAGTCTCTGCTCTGAAACGGTGACGTCTTTCTGACTGTCTCTGACATGGGGAGGATACCTGCAAAAGGCACTCCGATACTGAAGTCAAGATTCGGTTTTGAGCAGTAAATATTATTTCATAATGAAAAGTCAACCCTTTACCTGTACTTTCTACCTTCCTTTTATAGGCTTTATTGTGGGCTAATGGGCCTGCTGAGTCAGCCTTGAGTTTTGGCAATTTTACTTTAAAGTAGATAATGCCTTGATTACTACCCTTAATTGGGTTAATTACCTTCTAATCCTAACAAAAGATATTTGGTCAAACTGGGCCGAATAGGTACTCGGTTTCCTTTTTCTATATGTACGACTGAGCAGTTTCTTATCCAGTACAAGTAGTTTATTGGATTAGGACTAAGGCTGAGAGTTGATAAAGTAAGAATTCAAAATTGATAAAATTTTAGAGACTTGGAAGTGAGATAGTGTGTGTAGGGATGGAAACAGGTCAGGCCGCCTAACAGGGGCCTGTGGCCTGGCCTGGTTTAGGCCTGGTCTAACTTGACCTTTTTAATAAACAAATTAGGCTCATGCCTTTTTTAAGCCCTGTTTAAGTAAACAAGCCAGGCCTGAGCTGTTTATAAAACCTGTTAAGCCGGCCTGTATAAATATATATATATATATATATATATATATATATATATATATTATAATTTAAAAATAGAGCTATTAAAATATATTTAAATAATAAAGTTATTTAATAATATATTTTTATATTCTTAATTATGTTATTATTAAATTAATATATTATGTTATAATTTATTTATTTATAATTATAATAAACAGAAATTATATTATATTAAAAATTAAAAATATTTATACATGATTACACTTTTTAAATAATAAATTTATTTAATAATAAATTATTATATTTAAACAATTTAAAAAATAGTTAAGTCTTTGAACAAGAATAAGATATAATCAAATTTAAACGAAATAAAATTTAAAAATAAAATAATAAAATTATATTAACATATTTTTTATACTCTTAATTTTATTATTATTAATTTAATTATTTAATTATTATATTAATATATTATGTTATAATTCTTTTTATTTACAATAAATAGAGATTGCTTAAATCTGAATTATATTTTATTTGAAAGTAAAAATTTATAAAAAAATGATAACAAAATAAAATAAAAAATTTATTATAATATATATTAATATATATATATATATATAATCAGACCATGTAGCAAATAATATAAATAATATAATTATAAATAAATTATATAATAATATATATTTTTATAACTTGCACATGTTTTAATTAAATTATTAGTCAATTATCAATTTATATGTAATTTATAAGTATGTGTTTTAATTTATTGTATCAGTAATATTTTCTATATTACATTAATATTATAGTGTAGTTAATTTTACATTTATTTGTTAATTTAAAATAACAAATTAATGAGACAAATAAAATTAAATATTTTGTAATTATTTTTTAATTTAATAGTTATTATTGTTTTCATTTTATATATATATAGTACATTAAGTTTAAATTTTTATATTAAGTTTTATCACATTTTTTTAATTAAGATAAAAATTTAGAAATATATGTTATTTTAATTTAAATATAAATTTTAATAATTCTTCCTATGCTCATATGTTATTTTTTTGCATCTTTGAATTTTATAATATAAGTATTTATCATCTACAATTTTTATAATGACGATATTTATTTACTTTTTAAAATATAATATTTTTTTAGCTGATTCAATAAATTTTATAAGTGTTATTTTTTGTAATTATTTTTTTAATTTAATAGTTATTATTATTGTCATTATATATATATATATATATATATATTACAGTAAGTTTAAATTTATTTTTTTTAAAACATATAATTTTCTTTTAATTGATTCAACAAACTGTGTGAATATTAATTTTTTTTTATCAATTTTATGTATTTACTATAACTTTATTTGTTGAA